CCAGCTGTGCAGTCCAAGAACACCTGAATTACCCAAGGTTGGGAATCACTGACCTAGTGCATCAATGCTTTCACTCCAGCATCCCAGGCACCATATATTGATGGGTTTGTAAAGCTCTTCCTGCAGAAAATTTTCTAGTGTCCCCATCATCACTAGCATTAAATAGATTTGGAGGTCTGTAGTGATATCATGGACTTTCTCCTGCTAGTGAGTTGCCTCTTAATTTACAAGGGCCAAGATGGTTCAAAGCTTTTTAGACTGCAAAAGGTGATATGCTGAATTCCAATTTGGAGTTCACTCTCACCACTTGCAAAATGTGCTGTGTGATTCAGTTACAATTGTCTTGTTTCAAATAGCCTATTCAAATATAGGATTACAAATATATATTACATAGGTGGACTTGCTGGAAATTGGGATTATCCATAGCCTTGTGTGAGTGTTCGTGGAGAAGCAAATTCAGCTGGGCTGAATATAAGATGGGTCTGAATAAGTATGATAAGTCTTTGCTCAGCATGGAAAAAGTAGAAGACAATGTCTTTTGACTTCCTTAGCAGTTTCTCTGTATGTGTGGGTGTGTTCTTCTCAAAGGATAATTTGATCTTTTCCCATCCATTTAAGGGCATTAACCCACAATATATTGCTTGGTCAGCAGCAGCAGCATGATAAACCATTGAGACCTTCTGTGCATGAAAAACTCCCAGTGGAGCATATCACTAGTGTAAACAGAACTCTTTTCCTTTTCCATATACTTGCATATTTGGGAGAACCAGCAGTATGCAATAAACCAGGACTTTCAATCCAAATGTGTAATTGTCAAGGAAGAGTGACTCACTGTTTCTGCTAGCGTTCCCCCCCCCCATTGCCTTTCCCATCATTTAGTTCTGTCAAACAGTTTTAAAATTTTAGACTTGTAGAAAGGTAAATGTTTTGAGGAACATTGTTGGAGAAACCAGATACAATCTTTCAGTTCTCCTGAAAACTGTACAGGAGCCTTGCAACATAGTGGTTGAATTGCTGTATCGCAGTTAAGACTCTGATCATGGCCTGAGTTCAGTCCTGGGCTCAGGTAGCTGGCTTGAGGTGGACTCACCCTTCCATTCTTACGAGGTCGGTAAATTGAATATCCAGCTTACTGCAGGGGGTGGGCACGGTGTGTAGCCTGCAGAATTAAATTGTAAATCACCTAGAGGGTACCTTAAGTACTATGGGGTAGTATAGAAATAGCATTGTTACAGTGGACCCTTGACTTACAGACGGCTTGACTTACAGACTTTTTGAGTTACAGACTTCTCTGGCCGCAAAATTTAGGTTTGACTTGCAGCCTGAGAATTGACTTACAGACCAGAAAAAAACCAAAATGGAACAAAAATGGCCTGTTACGGGATTAATCGGTTTTCAATGCACTGTAGGTCAATGGAGACTTGACTTACAGACTTTTTGACTTGAGAACCGCCTTCCAATACGGATTAAGTTCTCAAGTCAAGACCCCATTGTATGCACACATTTGCTTTGGGCTCTATGGTTATTTGGCCTATGAAAACAAATAATTAATTAATGTTTCAATTTGTAGCGCAGAGAGTGATCTTGTCCAAGGAAGTATGACAACACTAAAAGGTATGTTTTATAGTTTTAAAACTCTTGAAAAAGAGTTCTTGGAAGACCATGATTCGAAAGCCAACTATTTCAAAATATGCTGCTGGTTTCACAGTTTTGCTTTCACAGTTCATGCAAAATCCACCACTCTGTAAAACCCATCTTCCTTCTGAGGCAGGAGCAAAGATGTATTTGCCCTTAAGAATACTGCCATGCTCCCCATTTTGTCTGCAGTTCGCCATAAACCCATGTTTCAATCTTTCCTTATTTGAATTTCAGTTTCCCCAATCATTTCTGTCACCCTCTCCTGAATATGTTCCACTTTCTTATGTGATAATTGGAGTGCAATACCTAGAGCCAGACATAATACTCCAGAAGAGTTCACAGTATCGAAGTGCATCTTATGGAGCAAAAAATACGGTAAGTCCCTGACTGCGGGTCAGAGCTGGGAAATTAACTAGTTTTCAAATAATGCTGTCAATCATCCCTAGTAACATTTTGGTGGGATGAAGCCACAAAGCAATGAGGAGCAATGAAGTTATTTTATTGGTGCAATAGAAAAGTAGGATCACAGATACTTTCCTGGTGTGGAGACATCTCGTGGCTGATGTGCAAAGAAGTAAAAAGAAAGTCTGATGAAGCACAAGGCATACAGTTGGAATACAAAATGTAAGAAATATGCATCAAGGTTAACTAGAAACCATAAAGCAAGAAATGGGATATATAAGCATTTCAGTGTACGGTGTCAGTGAACTAAAGTTGGACTGGAATGGGACATTTTCATTCAGACAACTAGAAAGTATTCATCTCTGAAAACAACAAACTCAGAATGGCATCTAAGGCAAGATGCATCACAGGCTTGAGTTTTCAATAGCTGAGCAGAATTGTTGAGGACGGGACATTAATTCATAGAGTTGTCATTAGTCAGAAGTGACTTCACGGCATGTAACAACAACAAGCTCCGCACTAAAAGCGTATATGGATAAACTAGGTTTTGTTGATTCTTAGCATATATTACATCAAGTGAAATAAAGTACAACTTTATTTCTTCAGTCTAAAATAACTATTTTCAATTAGATTATTTTCTCTTTGATATCTCAGGTTATTGTGTTCTTTGCAGGTACAATATTTTTTTTTCTGATCATGCTCCCATTTCTTTAACTCTTTTGTCCTTAGACTAGGTTAAATCCTTTAGGTTTTAGTGCTTTAATGTTTCATTACTAAATGATGATACTTTTAAAATTCAAATGATAAAGAGTCTATCAGAATATTTTAGTGTTAATGAAGCATCAACTCCTACCTATGCTACCAAATGTGAAGCTTTCTAAGGCCTTTATAATACAGAATGTAGTAGAACTACCTTTTGCATTGTAACATCTGGAGTTCCTAAGCCAGTATTAGCACTAGCCACACAGGCAGTGGAATTCTGGAAGTTGTAGTCCACATGATTAACTTTCCCAAGACTTGGGCAAAGTGTGGTGAAACAGCCTTACTGGAGGTATCCATGTGTGCAGAGGTCAAAAGAGGCTCTTTCATTTTGGGGTTATTTGATAGAAAAACACTTAATATACAGTGGTGCTTTGCTTAACTGTGTTAATTGGTTCCAGCGAAAACACTGTAGAGCGAAAACATCGTAAAGCGAAATTAAAAAGCCCATAGAAACGCATTAAAACCCGTTTAATGCATTCCGATGGGCTGGAAACTCACTGTCCAGCAAAGATCCTCTATAGGGCAGCCATTTTCGCTGCCTGTGCAGCGAGGAATCCGTCCCAGAAAACAGTGGGGGGCCATTTTGTTTACCCAGCGGCCATTTTGAAACCGCCAATCAGCTGTCCGAAAATCATTGTTTTGCGAAGAATCGATTCCCGAAGCAGGGAACCGATCATCGCAAAGCGAAATTCCCCCATAGGAAACATCGTAAAGTGATCGCAAAAGCAATCGCAAAAAGTTCATCGCAATGCGGTTTCAATGTTAAATGGAGCGATCGTAAAGCGAGGCACCAATGTAATTCATTTTGAATTCTTTGTTTTAATGAAAGAAAGGGACATGAAAACATGAAGGGACATGAAGAGAGAGAGAGAGGGAGAGAGAGAGAGAGAGAGAGAAAATTACCTGAAGGACTGGGAGATGCTGGAAACAGCAAAAAAAGAAGAACACAGGGAAGAATGACTGGTGCAGAGTCACTGCCTCTGGGAAGAATTACAGAGCTAAGGGGTGCATTAAAACCTTTCCAACATCCTTTCTTTATTTCCCCTTTTTTCAGGAAAAAGTGTTTTTCTTTTTCTTTTCTGTTTTAGAAATGAGTCAGCAGCTGAGTAAAAGTTCCTGAACTGGAAGCAAGTGGTCGGAGGGAAATGCAGAGTATTACTTACAACTTGAAAGTTCACCTAAGAGGTTTTTTTGTTCACCTTCTCCCTTATGGTGAGGATTCCCAGGGTGGTGTAGTGGATAAAGTGGCAGACAAGGACTCTGAAGAACAGGGTTTGAATCCCCACTTGGCCATGGAAACTCACTGGGGGCTGAAAGTGGTAAAATCACTCCTTAAATATCTCATTTACCTTGAAAGCCCTATTAAGAGTCACTATATGTTGGTTCCAACTTGATGGCTAAGGACTCACACACTTGTGGGGTAAAATCACTCCTTAAATATCTCATTTACATACCTTGAAAGCCCTATTAAGAATCACTATATGTTGGTTCCAACTTGATCGCTAAGGACTCACACACTTGTGGTGAGGGAGCAGAGCTCATCCCAAAGCTGCTTTGCTGTATTCCTCTTTCCCCATGTTGTTCCTTCTTTTGTTTTTGAATGTTGGATATAAATCGAGGAAGATAATTGTGTGGGTGTGCTATTAATAGGGCAGGCTGCTAGGTGGCATGGGTGGAGGGTGGAGATTTATATGATTTAACATCTCAGGCTCCAGCACCAGAAGTTTAAAGCTGCTGCCTGGTTACCACATCCTGGCTGTGTGTTTGCATTTTGCATTGTGCAGTTTGCAGTTTTGGCTATCTGCTTTGTAGTTTGTAGTAGATTTGATTTTGTCTTACCTTGGTTCTGTAGTTTTTTTATGGTTCTTCGGGCTTTTTCAACTATGAGCAGCAATAAATGGAATGGGAAGAAATGAGACAGAAGAACTGAAAGAGGCAGCCCCTTTTAGGTTTAAAGAAAAAACTGGCTAAAAGACACACAAACGAGAGAGGCCCCCCACTGAACCCAATCTGAGTAAAAATAAAAGTTTTCACCATGCTCATCCCTAGAGGCCATATCCTGGCCAATCTGTATTACTTTCAAACTTGTCAGTGCTTTAAAATTGACAAAATGAGGTAGTTGCCATCCCAAGAGTATGAGAAAAGGACATGTATAGCAGTAGGCATAGATAGATTTTTGTTTTTTTGCTCTTCTGCAGATGTCTCATCATTGAAATGCAAGGAGAGACGAAGCAGGAGAACCTGGAGAGAAAGGCATACTTTTTAGCATAGCACTCCAGTTGCTGTAGGAAACATGTGCTAAAAGGTCAGTGAACTATGACTAATGATTTTTAAAAAATGAATTATATGAAAAAAATATTGTAGCTTGGCAGAATTCAAATTTTGCTCTCATTTTGAGAAGATAAAATGATGCTGAAGTGCAATGGCATTGCAATGGCCCTTTGGGATGTTCAGACATATGTGCTGAACATATGGCAAAGGTTTCTTCAGGAGATGGAATGATGAAATAAGAGGTCCCGCTTTTCAAAGGTTCCTAATACATAAATCTGCATGTATCTGAGTTATTGCAGACATCCAGCAGAGTATCACAGACAGTATGCATGATCCAGCTTCTTCTTTTCCCCTCCAAGTTATTGTAATGTCTCCACAAAACTACAGTCATGGGCCAGATGGATGAGCAGCCTCTAACTTAGACTAGATGCTGAAAAGTGAAGAGTGGGTTTGCTTTGATGCCTGTCAGGAGGTGGGGAGTCATGTACAAGTGTCCAGTCGTCTACTCCATCAACTTTTGATGACTCACAAAGCAGGACGACTCGCCAAAATGGTGAGTCGTCCCCATCTCCAGTCAAAACTGATGAGTTACCAAAATATTGATATCAAAATAGTTGAGGAAGATAAAAATGGTGAGTCGTCCCCATCTCTAGTCAAAACTGATGAGTTGCCAAAATATTAATATCAAAAGAGTTGAGGAAGATAAAAGGAATACCTTAGACAGACCACAATCGTTGTGCGAGGCACCACTGTACCTTAGACAGACTGGGACTTCAGATCTATTTAGCCATTCTGAAATGCAGAATTATTAGCATAGTTTCAGGAGAGACATTAGCTCTGCCCCACCTTTATCGCTTTGCTCACATGAGCAGTGACATTTTGTAAGACAAATGTTCTCCTTGTTTTCCAGCTCTTCGTATAAACAACCCAGATTGTTAGGCTTCTTGCTTGCATATAGAATGTATAACAGGAACCTCTTCTCTTCAGGCTTCTCTTGTTTATATGTGAATAAAGTGATGATGGAGAGGGATGGAGCCGGTGTCTCCCCTGTAATCATGATTCCAGATTTCAAAATGATGTAACAGGGCATTTGAAATGGTTGCAGGTGAATTAAACAGTGGGGGCAACTGCACAGACTTCTGCTTCTCTGTCCTGGAGCCTGCTGTCCCCGAGCTAATCATTCAGAGCAGGAAGAGTTTGTCTCTATGTATGAATGTTTGTCTTTGTGACTAGGAATTTGCTCGCTACACTCAAATAGTCTTGAAACACGAAGACCATTTCATGAGTGACGATTATGCCAAAACTTCTCTCTTTCTCTGTTTATCACTCTTCTCTCCCTTCTATCAAAAATCTGTTCTAAGATGTATATGTGTTTGTCCACATTGGGGAATTTTGGCGATTTCTTTTAGATAGCAGAATATGAGGTAGAAAAGCAATAGCACAAAGTAATTTAGAGAGATCAGCCCAATCTCAATATCCCCTTCTTGTTTTCTTTTTCATACAAATTAGCACTTTGCATGATAAAATCACTCTAGACCCATGTAAAGTAGAAAAAGGTCTCTTTACATGCAGTTACTATTTATAGTTACAGTCAGAAGTATAAAAATAAAATGGAGTCTCCACCATATGGAGAGACCTCCATGTTTGTTGCTTGGTCACAGGTCAGAGAGAGAAGGCTATCAAGAACAAGGATGGTGGAAGCAAGCAAAAGAAGAGGGTGCAGGGGGTTGCCCTAAATGCTAGAGGTGGGAAAAGAACCTTACCAACCAAGTTAGCAGCAAAGGACAGTCACATTAATCTGTACATGCATGCAAGATTTCTATTGTCCTAACTGTGCAGCATTAAGGTTCTTTCCTTTCATTCCCTTTCCTCCACCCCTTCCAATCTCTTTTTATTGCTTGACTTTTTTTGCTTTAACACAGGATTCTATGCACCATGTGCCCATGGTCATACATTTGGTGGAAAGTGGGTGGGATTATGCAGATCTAGTTAGGTTTTTAAATGGATAGATACCTTCATGTAGATACTATTGCATCATTTTATTTATGTATATTGCATTGACTTAACTGCAGACACTTTTCATGATCTATTCCATTATAATAAAGGGTGGTTGTTTTACTTCACTTTAAATGAAGTCTTGTTCTCTTTGAAGGGGTGGTCATTTATTATAGGTTTGTATGCCCTTAGCCCATAGACTGGATTAGGGAAAGTATGTGTCTTGAGTTTGGAAATAGGTTTGTATGCCCTTAGCCCATAGACTGGATTAGGGAAATAAAGACCTGCGTTGGGAAAGTATGTGTCTTGAGTTTGGAGCTTTAATTCCAAATATATGGCATGCCAGCAGTTTGCCTGTTGAAATTCTCTTTCTGCCCTTTGGGAAGTTAATTACTCAGTTTAGCTGATGGGAACACATGCCCCCCTTGCATTAAACAAGGAGAGCTTTGCTCTAGTCTTTGCCTGTGGGATTTCCCGTACAATTTTTTAACCACCCCCTTGCATTAAACAAGGAGAGCTTTGCCCTAGTCTTTGCCTGTGGGATTTCCAGTACTGTACAATTTTTTAACCATATATCTTCCTTCAGCCATGATCTATTTCTCTGTTTCTCTCCTCTCAGTCCTTGACACTTGGTTTCTTTACTGAAGGGGTGGATTATGCATATCTTTGCTAGTTTCCTCCAATGTGGTGCCCTTCCCAGAGGTTCTGAACCACGTACAACCACTTAGCTAAAATGATGAGGTTAAGGAAGGCATGCTGTCCGCATAGACATATGATTGCTTATGATGCGCTGAGTTGCCTCAGTTGATCCTTAATGGGAATTCAGAACTCTGAATTTGACAAAACATACTCAAGCCATTGCACATTTCAGCTTCAAGATAATAGGACTTGAATCAACAGTCAAATATTACTGAAATAGCAAACTGTTGCGATTTATTTATATTTGTTATTTACGTAAAATATTTTACCTTGGCTTGCTCTTAATAAAGGACCCAAGGCAGCTTATATCATTAAAAAGACAATATTTGATCAGATTTCTATTGCTCAGTTCACATGTCACATAAACAAATCACAGCTTAATCTTCATGGCTTCTTTAACTGTTCCCATTACAAGTGGGATTACTGGAAGGTGGAAGCCCAACTCGTTGGCTTATCCATGGCAAGCAAGGAATTCTGTGGACTTTTGTTGTATCTTGACATTTGAATTAATGCTTATTTTTATTCTTGATGGCTTAATTCTGAGATGTAGATTTAAAAGTCCAGTGCAGTGGAAAGACAGGCATTGATATGTTTCTCGGCTAATGTTGCCCTTGCTTTTCATACTTTGGTTTTGTCTGAGGATCACATCAAGCCTTATGCTTCCAATTCAACTTTCCCATTGGACTTATTCTCCTTTGGGAGAGCAATTACTATTTTTTTCCAGTGCTCCCTTAGCAAGTTTTGCACCCAGTTTATTATTATTTGACCAATGTCTAGTTTGCTTTTGTTCTTGTATCACTCTAGTTCTTAAGCAATGGTTCATGAACTCCTCGTGCACATTTGGAGCATGAGGACATGTCCATGTCATTGTGTTCCATCTATTCTGAAGAGCAGTGCCTTGACTGGCAAATATAGCTCAGTAACATGATGCATGACATTTCAGCTGCATCAGAATTTAGCAGAAGCAAAGCTTTCATCCAGAAACTTTTTAAATAAAATGTGGTGGTTTCTAAAGAATAAAGTACAGGAGAATAGTGGACTGCAATAAAACAAAGCTTAAGAATTGTTGCTGCAGAGTGAAAGATTTAAAATACTTGTAAATAAATAATCCAGTGCTTATTTGGACAAGAAACAGTTGTGATCTGGCCCTGTGCCAGTCAGGGCTCTACATCATCACAAACATACATTCACTGTCTAGCTCACTGTTAATAAATTGTGATTGGGCACTAAAATTTTACAGCTCCTGTGGTTGTTCACTCTGGACCCTCTTAAATCCCAGCAGTTAGTATACAGTGATGTTGCAGTTTTTCTCTATTCCTAGTAAGGAAAACATGTGCAGAGAGGGCTATTTTCTCTGTGATTGCTTTGCTGTCCCTTAATGTTTCCTGTTTGTCAATATGTTCTTGAAGACCAGAAATTGAATGAATACAAAGAAAGGCAGTGTGTGTATATACGTCTCTGTGTGTCTGTGTGTGTGACAGAGAAAGAGCGTGTGCATGAGAAACTTAAGAAAATAAAGTTCTGAACAGTGTACCAGCAGTAGGCTTAGATCAGGCATGGTCCCCATAGAGGATCCGTAGTTCCTGCTGTTACTGTAGTTGAACTTGTCACGCTGTTAGCATTTTTCTTTGAAAACAAGGCACGTGGCGAACATACCTTGTTTTAAAATGGAAACAAGGGAGTTGGGTCATTCTAACTGGTCCCTCACTGCTGTTCTCAGCCAGTCATTCTGCAGATCTGAGGAAGAACTAGATTCTTAGTAGCAGTGCAGATGTCCCATTTATCCTGTGGGTAGGTAGGCAGGCTAGGGCTGAAAGAGTTGCCAGTTCGGTTCTTGAATTTTGATTGAGGAGTCAGTCAGACTTCTGCTAAATCTGTAGGTGGTTTTCAGCAAATCTTGATGTCTTGGCATCCTGACCTCTGCCTGTGTAGGATACAAGGCAGTTCCATAAATTTCTTCTTCTTCTTCTTTTTTTTTGGAGCAGAAATGTTGGTCAGTATTAAGATGTGTAATACTATAAGAGAGATAGGGTGCAGGAAAGCTCAGAGACTGGACTTTTCCAGCTGGAGACAATTCTCTTCCTTTGGTACTGAATGCAGTCACTTTAAGAGAGATAGGGTGCAGGAAAGCTCAGAAACTGGACTTTTCCAGCTGGAGATAATTCTCTTCCTTTGGTGCTGAATTCAGTAACTTAACATAGTGTGAATATAATCACTTGACAAGTTGGTTCTTAGTATTTCTCAGGTGATGGAGATGTTTGCCACATCTCTGCTTCCCCAGTTTTTTTTGTGGAAGTGCAGAAAAGTGGTAAACTTTTACAAATCTTTTGGTAATAAGGAACAAATAATAGGCTATCTGGCCACAGCACCAATTTGATTTTAGTATCCTGAAAACTGCTTACAGATAGATAGGAGTTTGGAAGTCTAATCTCTGTACAGTCTTATTCAGGTGTAACAAAGAATCCTGGGTTCCCAGCAAGGCTGCCTGTAAGCTGGGTGCGTGCATGCCTTTTGCCTTCCTCTGCACAGCCATCTTCCCCCTCTGCACAGCAGTTACGTTAGGTTCCAGTCACAATAGAACCGTGCACACGTGGGGGGGAGTCGCACATGTGTGCAGGAGCAAAGTCACATGTGCAAGAGGTTGACCCCTGCCTAATGGAGCTGAATGTGAGAGAGTACGTAGGTTCCCAGTCATGCAGAGAACATGGCAAGTAGCCAAATATGGGAAGGGAAGGAGAGGAATGGTCTATCATATATCTAGCTGACAGGATTGTGTCAGTGAGGTGTGATGTCTATATTTGCACATTATTATGGTGAATACATTTTACTGGCACTTTTTGGATCCATTAAATTGCCAAGCTTTTATTTCTTTATTTTCAGGTGTCCTGATGTTTGCCCTTCCTTACAAATACCAAGTCTGTCTGAGATTGGCCAATGCACAGACAGTAGCTGTGAAGCCCCAGTAGGAGGTGAGTCTTCCTTCCTTCCTTCCTTCCTTCCTTCCTTCCTTCCTTCCTTCCTTCCTATACGGCCTATCTAGCAAATTGCTACTCAAGGTGGCATCCAACAGAAATAAAGAAATATAGTTTATATAAAGCATAAATTATAAGTGAACTGTTGTGCTCTCTTGTTTTAAATGTGTTTTTGTATTGATTTTATTTACCGTTAATATAATACTTGTTTAATCCTTTTTTAATATCTGTATACTTACTGTTTTAGCTTTTAAATATTGTCCTTTTTTTAAAAAAAATTCGATAACATTTTTAAAACAAATAAATACAGACATAAATATATCTCTGAAGACCATTTATTGGGGCCCATGAAAAAGAGGAAGCTATTACACTCATGTCCTTCTTGTATGCTTCTGTAGGCTGCTCATTGATCACTGTGTGAACTGAATGCTAGGCTAGATAAGCCTTTGATTTGCTGTAGGAGGGTGTCTTATTTATATCAAGACGTAGCTCCTTACTATATGGGATCCACTGGATTATTTCCCTTCCCCTGACTGTAATTTGACAGTCGTGTGGTGAAAATAGTTGGCTTCCATGTTGATGGCAGTACACAATGGCTCACTAGAATTTCCAGGAAATTTCCCAACCTCACTGGAGAGTAGTGTGTGTTACAAATAGATACAAGCAAAAAATGTCATCAAAATATTTTTATGAAAAATCATGAGCTCAGATATTGAGCTAGCTGTAGTGGAGGTGCTGGAGACAATTTTTTACAAAAACTCCCATTCTCCTTCAGTTCCTTTTTTTGCCCTCCAGAAATCTGCTCTGGAAGCTAGGGAAGGGTAGTTGGTGGAAATTACTTCCTCTTCCAGAAAAATCATCTTTAGGATCAAAAGGTTTTTATGGTTGTATGGCTAAGTTGGGATATAATTCATGACTTCAGCCAACTCTGTATTTTCAAAGAACATATGTGCTGCTGTAAATGTTTTTGATGGGGTGGGAATGTACTAAGAAATGCTGAAATATCAAATAAATGTTGCCCTTTTCAAGAAGAACAAGTTAATGTGATGTTTTGGCCCTCAGTTGAAGTAATGTACATGTGCATTTTACTATTATATCTTTTTTCTTGGCAGAATGAGTGAGAGGGATATCCGAAGCTTGAGCAAAGGGGTATTGGTACTCTCTCTCTGCCTTATAACACTATGGGGAAGGCTAACACTGGCCTCAACGCACCACAGAAGCCATTCAGGTACATAGGTTTGAAGGTCTCTTTCTTTACTTTCTTAGTTTCCTTTATGCATTTGGTAGTTTTTCTTGCTTCCTGAAAATATCAAGACACTTTCCACATATATAGTTACTTACTTGCAGCGGTGTCTGTTATGATGTTGGTACAACTTGCTGCTTTGTGTCCAAATATTATGCAGAGAAGGAAGATTTTTTTTTCCTCCGGATCTGGCATTCCGGCTGCATACAATATTGTGAGTTTTATAGAACAATAAACTCAGTTTCAAATTCAGTTCACAGCAGTAACATTGAAGAATCTGTTCATTAACATTCAGAATTCTCTTCTTAAAAATATTTGGGATTAAAACAGAAGTCAATTCTTGAAGTTCTTATGCTTGGCATATTTATTGTGTGCAACCAAGACATTTTGTGAACCCTAATCTGAAAAACCTATGAAAATCCACGGGTGTGTATACGTGTATATGTATATGAGTGTTTTTGTTTTTAATATTGTAAAATCCATTCTTTTTAAATAAAAAAACCCCTGCAGATTTCTGAGAAACATGAACTGCTTTTTCCCCCGCATCAAAGTCTGATGCATATCAAAAAAGCCTACAAATTATCTAGTAACGGGAGGCCATCTGATCATCCAGGGCTTTTTGCTGCTAGTTGTTGACTCAGAGCGGCAACTCAAGTTTCATTTGCATTTTCACTGTAACTGTGTACAAATTGACTCTTAAAATTGATGACCTTATTTTTGGATAGAGATGTCTGAGAAATAATTTCATCATTTTTTTTCCAGGAGCATAGAACAGACATAGGAGCTGGTCTCCCTGCATGTGTATACTTCTGCAAGCTGGTTACACAGTTTTAGACAGAATTGTATGGGCTTGTACACAGGCAGCTGTGTTGAGTTTTCTATTGAATATAGTCCTCAACTGGGTTCTGTAAGTGTAATTGTGTCAGCAAACTGACAGAGCCCTCTATGCTCTGGATCTCAACTGGCCTTTAAATATGGACAATGTGGTCTTTTGGCCTTATTATGAATCTGTTTTCTCTCAGTTGTTTCTTCCTTCAGGCTTTTAAGGCATATTTGCTAGGCCTCCTTTTTAATTTTGCTGAACAAGGCAAAGAGGCCAGTTTGGATCATTTAAAACCTGGAGTTGCAAGCAAAAAAGAAGAAAAAAAGACTTGAAATATACTCACCCTTTAAAAAGCAGTGAGATAAGTTGTCTTATTGGTTCTGCTTCTAAGAATTTAAGAATAGGTATCTCAGAATGCCTGACCTTGCAGTTCATATTAGTATTAGTACAGGTGAGCAGTTCATGAGTATTCTTCAAGGTGGCAGATAAGCTCTAGAATTGTGAGAAATTATCTAAATACTTTAGACTGGAATTTTGAATTTTTTTCTGAGATAGCTAGGTTTGTAGATAGTTAATACAACTGTATTTGTTCTATTTTACATGCTTAAAACCTGTCCCACTGTTGTGCCTTCTCTGAGTTGTGTGCTATGGAGCTGTAGGCAGATGAAGTACAAGATGTGATGACTTCAAAGGATTTCAGCCTGAGACTTGCTTCCCTAATTGGTTCATGCTACAGGGAGCAATTAAAATTGAGAGGCTGCTTAGGGAAGTTCTGGAGCCATTTATATCCACAGGCTTGGGGAAACTTTTGTATTTTACTGTGGGGGTTCAAATCCTGTTGCTACTGTCTTATAATGTGCCTCAGAGTGTGGCAGGTACTGTATTTGTAAACAGATAGATCAAGAAATGCATCATAAGCATATTTCTGGGGAAAATAAAAGCAGATGCTGCTCCTGAGGTATATCAGCAATGTAACCAGCTGTGCAGTAAATACAGTTCTTTCCTTTTGTGTGTGTGTGTGTGTGTGTGTGTGTGAGAGAGAGAGAGAGAGAGAGAGAGAGAGAGAGAGAGAGAGAGAGAGAGAGAGAGAAAGTTATTTTTTAGTTCTTATTTGTAAGCAGGGTTCTTTCTTTTGCAGTAGAGAGCTGATGAAAGCTGGGAAAACTATTGATTTGGTTCTGAATTCCACGCACATCCATTGCATGCTTGTTATCTAACGCTAGAGATGCAAATCCTTGATTGTCCTGTCTTTTCATACAAAAATGGGGAAATAATTTTTTCTATGCATGGTGGCTGAAGAATTTCATGACAGTCTCAGAAGAGTTCCTGGACTGGCAAGAATGGCATTTTTTTGCCCTGAACTTTCCACTTTTATTTTTGTGTGTCTATGCACAAAAGTGTCCATTTTGGGCAGAATTCCCCAAATTGCCTCAGTGTGATTGCTTTTTTATGCAAGACTGTGAAATGCAGCTTCCTGAACAATCTTCCAGAGTCCTGTGCTTTTGTGAGTGTGTGCTTTTCCTTTCAAAGGCAAAGGGACACACTAAAGACATTGTGTGTAAAATACAGAGAACTGAGAGAAAGGCTTGAAACAAGTTATCTCACGGGGCTTTAAAATTCCAGGCAACCTAAATCAGCAAGAACAAGAAATTCAGCAGAATTTTCCATTCCACTTAGAAATAATGCTTTTAGAATAGTTCTGCTTCAGTGCTTTGTTTCTTACCATAATTGTGTGGATTTGAGGCAACAACGGTTGTCTACAGTAGATCCTGTCCATGTTTTGCCTTCTTGGAATAAAAGTGTCCTTCTAAATTGTTTTTGATTTTAGTAATTTAATGTGAAAGAGCCAGCTACACATGCGGAGCTATGAGAGTTGCACACAGATATTGCCAAGATGTTCCAAGAGGATTGCAATACTTTTGTATTTCTTAGAGTCACATTAAGATTTCATACACAAGAATTACTTTTGGGAGTATTTCCATGCATGGAAATTGTAGCAAGGGAAGCTGGAAAAGAACAGATGCTGTTATGTTGTAAAAAGTTAAACAGATCTCAGCCTGTTAAGTGCCTGGAAAAGAGGCTGCCTAGAAACCCAAATAAACCATTGTAAGCTTTCCCAGTGGAGAATGTGAAGTAAGTGGGCCAAATAAAGAAAGATGAAATTGCAGCACAAGACCCAGAGAATGGTCTGAGCTAAGTGTTTTCATACCTCATCTTGATTCTTACAGTTGCTTTTCTCTTACATTAGGAAACTGGAAAATGACATTGTGAAGACCATGCAGTAGTCTTCCAGATTTTCTTCAGTGTTGACTAGATTATCTGGGCAAGGCTATGTGCAGTGGTTCACAGGTTTCCATTTTTGATTCATTGAACATGCTCACATCATTGAGTCAACAATAGGGTGACTCTGTCCTCTATGCTTCTGTTGCCTGCTGATGTCCAGACATAAAAGGATCCCAAGCAGGGATAGTCATGTTAATTTGTTTCAACAACAATAATAACAGTTACAACAACAAACAAACAATAGATTTAAAAAGATTTAAAAGTTTTATTTGGCACAGAGTGGATTTTATTTAAATCCGATTTTTATGTTTGAAATTTTTAAAAAATACGTTTAAAATGTAAACTGATTTAAATCAATTTAATTTTAAGGTACCATTAATTATCCACCCTGATTTGACATGAGATTTTGTGGCCTGTCACCCACTTCATAAAATGTAATTCCCCACAACTTGTTGTTCCATCTCCCTCATGCAACTATCTGTTATATGAACTCTTCTTATTTTTTGAAGCTTCTGTAAGGAGATATCCAGTACCTCTTTTTATATGTGGGAGACCATTCATTTCAACAGGGCAATCTCTTGGTTTCTTCAATCATGAGTTGAAGATTGTGGAATGTCTTGTCTGGAGTATTATGTTCCATCTACACTTCAACAGGATTTTGATCAATACAACTCAAGTTACTAGTAGTACAAGGTCACTAGTTCCACAGAGCACTCGAGTCTCTAATAACTCCATTTATAGCGTTTGTAGGAATTGCACATTTGCCTGTTCCATAATCTCTTTAGAAAATGTATGGGTTTCCTTGACTGTCACTTTCTGGCAGCCTCATGAAGCAGGCATCAAAAGTATCTGACAAGCCATTTGGCAATGTGACAGCAAATGGGACATTGTGTTCTTCCTGCAACTTGATTTAAAAGCTGAGTTCTGTATTTATCTGCACTTTCTGTGGAACACTCAGTTTGAATCCAGTAGTTGCCACATTTCTGTGTATGTTCAATGCTGGATTTGACCTGTGCATTAACATTGTAAACACCTACCAGAGGAAGCAAGAAAGTGAAATATATAGGAGAAGATGAAGAGTTAATTTGCAAGTGTATACTCTTATTTATGATACACACCTATCTCCTCTTCTGTTTGTACCAGTCCTATACCCTGTTGATAAAACAATTTTAATCTTCTAATCCCCTGGCCTCATTGGTGAAAACCAACCTGTATCTCCCTTTGTGACCATTTCAAATTGCAAGTGAACATCCATTTTCTTTATCCTCTTCCTAACCTTTAATCAGGTGATAGAAAGATAAGCTTTCATAATAATATCTGGAATTATTTTTGGAGTGAGCACAACCCTTGTTATCTGCAATTTTTATAGTTATCTTGGGGATATAATCTCTCAGGGGATTTGTAAGAAATTTATTTCCAGGGTGTTTGTGTAGGTGTATTAGTCTCTTGCTGCAGAGGCAACAATGAGTCTTGTGGCACTTTAAAGGCTACTGAACTTCATTTGACATATGCTTTCATGAACTATTGACCATTTCATCAGATTCATATTTATTGGAATAAAGTTCTAGGAAGGAGTTCCAGTTTGCAGAATAAGATAAGCTTCTATTATGTAGGTAGGAATGATTTAGACAGTCCAGTTGTTCATTTATAAAGTTTTATTTAATGAATTTTTCAGATAATTGTAACTTGCTATCCAGAGTTCAGTCAAATGGACTTGGGGTGACAGATTGCTTACACTAGCAACCCAGAGTGGCCAAAAACCTATTATTTATATACACTGGCATAAGTCAAATACTACAAATCACAGTGGTGAGTTATCACCAGGTAAGGAATGCTAATAACAGATAAACCCTCAGGAAAGTTGACTAAGAAATATGTT